TGGGGCCACTGTTACTCATGTGCTCCAAACCAGGCACGCCATGTGACACCCGGGGTTCCCCGGGAGGACTTCTGGAGTAATACCACTCTTCCCACAAGGGAAGGGCAACAACCTGAGATGCTCAGGGTGCAGTGCACCAGAAGGTCACAGCCAGGACAGTCCCGCCAGACCCACACGCCAGAGGGCTGTTCCCTGTTCTGTTTGCCAAGAACCTGTCCTCCTTTCTCTGCACAGCTGGAAAATGTTCAGGGCTGGATGGAATTAGCACATGGGCACAGAGTTACCATATGTTCAGGTTTCCCTAGACTCAACCTGTCTTTTTGCCTGGAAATTGAATGCAGATGGGATTTGAGGTCTCTGGGGCATCTGTTGCAGGTCTCTGGACAAACAACCAAGGTGCATGAGGGGACCAGCGCAGGCACGGTTATCTGGGAAATCTCAGACAGACACAGGAGAAACAGGCACGTTGAACCACACCACTTTATCCTTCTTGAGAAGGGGGAGGCTGATAAACAGTGGAGAGATGCTGGAAAAGCCTTCTAAAAGTAACACAGCCTTGGGAGACCTTTTCCACCACTCAAGCCTCATCTTCAGACACTGGGGATACACGTGGCTATAACTCGAGTCCTGACACAATGAGGTGTAGCAATTACTGATAATTTTAGCCTCAACACGTTCAGCAAAGTAGCATGCTACCTCTTGGTTTCTACTCCATGTCTCAGCTGACGGGAGCAGTACAATGGTCTGAGTCAGCCAACGGGCAGAAAATCATCACTTTCAGCAGCACGGTGTGATCAAGGGACCCTTGAGGGGTGGAAAAGGTCAAGAACTCCCCTATCCCAACCCTGTCTCTCTCTGTGACTGTGAGCAAATTATCTCTTCTGTCCTCATCCGTACAGTGGAAATACTACTCACCTTCCTCACAGGAGAGCACAGAGATAACTGCCAGGGACAATTAAAAGACTTGTCCCCAGAACTTAGAGTATCAAGAAATTAAACAGTGAATGAAGCAAGACTTCACAAGTGACACTGAACTTTGACATCTGGAGCTTCCAGCCCCCTGAGGTGTTCACAGCAGCAGTACTTAGCCTGCTCCCTATGTTCCCTACAGCTAACAGCTCACCACAACCAACATAAGTGAATCTGCTCGACTCAGAGGACCAGGAGCATTTCCCTTCTGTCCAAGCAACACCTACTAAGCTGATGGGTCCTAAGAAATAAACAATACACCACTGTAAAGTACATTTGTACTCACATAGGCCTCATTTTTCCAAGCAGTAATCAAGAGTATTATGTTACCTATGGTCAAAATGATTAGTCATGTTTCCAAAGATTAATTTACATGTTCTTTTGTCTAATGCTTACAAACTGATTTAATGGCTGCTTATGAACTAAGCTAACAGTCATTTTGAGAAACAGATGTCCGACGCAGTTTTAAGGATTAAGAGTGCTTTTATTCATATCCTTAGGAGAAAAAGGGCTACACAGTCTTCAGTAATAACACTAATGAACCAAAGTACTACAGCTGCCCAACAGGGTTTTGACAGAAACCAGCTTTTTCTCAAAGGAACTTTTTTATTTAGGACTCTGGGACAGTGAACAACTGGTAATACACACGTTCAACATTAAAGTATGTGCTTTGCTGGAGTCAGAACACTGAACCAAGCCCTATCTGCAACCAAACAATGTGAGGCTTTTGCATAAGCACTGAAAACTATAACTACACAAAGACAGGGAAATCTGTGTGGAATCTGGATCCTCCACATTTCATACAAATAAATATTCAAAAGTTTGAGCATTTCTGATGCTATTTTGTGATGCTGAATGTAGAGCAGGTTGTCTGGTTTAAACCCTGACAGATTATTGTGTGTGGGTGGCAGGGTTAGGATAAAAGAAAGGGAAGAAAGCTACTAGGAAAGCAGTTGGTGGCTGCAAATCTACAATAAATAAACAGCACATTCCTCTTCTGCATGAAGCCATTAGAGTCTGTGACAGACTTCAACATCCTAATGTCAGCTGGGTGCAAATTTGATGGCCTAGGGTTCTACATTGCTCCCTAAAGAAAGCAGATTTGGAACAATTTTCCATGCCCCAACACAGCCTTTCTGTCAAGTTCCTGAGGAACTTCTAACGCACCAGTTATTCACAGGACCTTTGCAACAAACCACGGGTTTGATATTTTATGGCCTAGTGTGTACAGTGCAGGATATGATTACACACAAGCCTGCTTCCCATCAGCCAGCACCTCGTAATCGTTAACATACTTATCCTCGTGGTGCCTCAAGAAGATGACATTGTTATTAGTCCCATTTTATAGATTCAGAACTGAAGCTCAATAGCTAAATGACTTGCATTTGATTACACAAGATTCACAGTGAAGGACAGAACTCAGTCCCAGCCCTACCAGCTCCAAGCAAGGATCGCACCAGAAGGACTTGATCTATGTGCAGAGCTGTCCTTCACCTGAGGTGCACATAGGTCTCATGAAATTCCTATATCTGCACCGGGGTTTGCGCTTTTTGCGTCTCAGACTTTGCCACTGCGTGTATCTGTAGGGAACGTGGATGTAGATATATTACTAACATGCAAAAGCTGAACTTCTAAGTCACATTCCTCTGCAGCAGCTGGAGACAAGAGTCTACAGATCGTGCTCATGTACTTGACAGCACATTGAGCAACTTTCCTCAAACGCACAGGACATGCTGATACAGTGTGTTAAGAAAGGGTGAGACCTAGTAAGATCTTCCTCTTCTGCTTCATCTATACCACACTGTGCTGGAAAATACATCAACTGATAAGTTTTGGCCCCAGTAAGGGTAATCATCAGGTCTGATTTAAGTACCAGTTAGTTAGAGGTTGTGAGTAAATGCTGCCTTCCAGCACAAACCACCCGTCAGTACAATCAGCGCTTTGAACAAGTCTCATTGTGTCTGCTACAGGAATTGGAGAAGGGAAGCCACTGCACAGGTAGAAAACCACTTTTTCTAAACTCCTCTCAAAGTAGTTGGTGAGATGGAAGAAGAAAGGATAAGGACACATTGTCTTTTAAGTTGAGATCTCCTCTATGCCTCTGATATTAACTATCACCAGAGTAACTGCTGGCAAGACACACAGCTGATGGCTTTTCCCTTAACTGAATCATTGCTCTGGAGAAACAGTCCAGCTATGGTTTTCCACTGTGGTAACCACAGACCTCAGAGAAATGTATTGATCTTTTAGGAGGCAAACACTGGGAACCGGCCATTCCTACCACTCAGCCTTCAGGTCAGGTGGGTGTGCAGGTAAGAGAGATTTGCAACAAAGAGCACTGTCACAGATACGACTCTCTGAATTTGACCTGCCTTCCTCTCTGTCTCAGAACAGTTAAAAACCCAGGTAAATATTTGCACGCTTCATCTTAGACCTTTGCTAACCTTTCACCACTCTGTCTTGAGCCTATCTCTGTTTATCTTACTCTGAACAACATAAAGCTCTCTTATCTAAGCAACAACTGCCTCCCAGCATTAAGGCTTACCCATCAGCTGCCTCCCTGACCTGATGTGCACCCCAAACATTTCTGGTCATCTCCAATCACTGCAAAGTTAAGAGCGTTTATTTGGCATACAGATTCAAGAAGGAGCCCAGCATCTGTGAGAAATCCTGTTCAATACTTTTGAGCCTTCTAAGGCTGGGTGTGATTTGTGCAAATCAGATGGTATCATTTTATTTTTCCAGTGAGGCCAGTGAGACCAACCAAAGGTCCAATCGGACCAACTTTCAGGCAGGGAAGTACGACTCGAAATCCGAGTCAGATCAGAAACTGGCTCCATATAATTACTACGTAGCAAAAATAAGACTATTCCTAAAGCAGTAAAGCAGTCACCTGAGATTTTTTTTTTTATAAGTACCAATATTTCTTATTACTTATTAGTACACAGCCATCAGCAACTGACATAATCTTTCCCCCCAAAGGACTGGGAAACTCAGAAACATTCATGTGTATGGCAAATCAGAAGTCACTCACAAAATGGAACAAGAAAGGACATCAGGGTTCTAACCAAGTATGAGGAATATTTTTCTTAAGAAATGCTTGAATCAGGAAAGAAACAGGAATTGAAACAGAGCAGGATGCTGTCCCTGCCTGGCACTACAGGAAAGAGCTGATTTCATGATGATCTATCCTCTTGGAACAAGAAAGCACAAATGTTCATTGGAGACCAGTAAACCAAAGGAAATACCAAGATGAAAGAGTGCAGCAAAGATGAATGCCTTTCCATATCATTTAGATGAAAATACTAAAACTGATGGGAAGACATTTAACTAGCAACTGAAATAAGGCTAAGAGGGGAAAGGGAGAAACCCCAAAAGGCGGAAGTGTAGGTACTGTCAATGGCTTGAAACTACAGGTAAATTCCTGTAAGTTCTCTGAAGTCAGAAAGTTACTAAGGAGAGATTTACAGGTCCACCTAGTCCCACTGATCACCTGGTAGTCTACAGACTATGAGAGACTAGTGTGGTATTGGCATGTAATTACTACCACTACCTGCCTGCTTAAGCAAAGCAAGATCAAAGTCACTTTAAAAAAAATAATCAACATTTTAACCAAAAGGCTTGTAATTACGAGCCTGAAAACTACATGCTGAGGTGAAAATACCAGCAAACGATCATCTCTGCCACCTAGCTCTTTGGACACCACAGTGCTCTTTGCCACAGTATGTTTCATAGGTCTCAGTCCAGCCTGATTTCCAACACTCTATGCTGTGAGAAGCAGGTCCTACAGAGCAGTCAGAGCCACTCTGCACTAGCAAGGTTTGTCTAAAACCCCTCTCAAAATCTGCCCTCCTGAGTACTAGCCCATTAACCCAACCTGAACTCTTCTACACTCTTGCTTAGCAAGTATTTGCTGCTAGCTTTCTTCTCCCCTTGCCACATCTTTTCCCACCCAACTTTAACTTTGCTTTCCACGCTGAGCTCTTTCACCTTGTTCCTCCCACCATCTGAACGTGCACAGTGAAACTTACGGTGCTCGGTCATGGTTCAACCCATTCTGTCTTTGTGTATTTATTGGAGGTAGAACAGGTTTGCTGTTAATCTCAAGCCCTCTTCGCAAAGTCTCCCTGATTTGCTCTGTATCTGTAAAGAGAAGGGTTTTTTTTAGCATGATTTAGAATCCCCAGAAACATCACAGACACAAGGAGATGTCAGCTTTTTTTTAAAAGGCCTGTTTCTATGGTGTGTTTCATTTAAACTCTTCCCTTCAGAAAGAAATGAAGAGATGCTAAGTGTGAATTTTTAACAGCTATTCCTGCACTTCAGGAATTATTTCACTTTATAAAGTCAGCCTGAATTCTCTCGGTTTAGGCTGCGATGTTATGTCAGGCAAGGAGAGCTGGAACCTTTGGTACTGAGCCCCCCTGATGAGGAAATTCTGAGTAGTTTGGTATCCTTTCATAGGTGAGGTGTTTGCTGTTTCTGCAGCTTCCACAGAATCTCCTGACACTTCCAGCCTTTGTGTTGGGAGTCACTTTTCCCATTAGGCAAACAGGAGTTTTTTCCTTTACCAGATGAATGCAAGGAGGTCCCCGAGCTTTTGTAATTGGCTTTGCAAATATGTTGATTAATTTACAACAAGATTCACAAAAGAAATGAATTTTATGCAGGGTAGACTTTAGCCTCAAGCTCACATTTGAAAATAAACTGCAAATTATGCTGTTCAAATGCATCTTTTTTACTTTTTCACTTTCCTATAATGTCTAATGGCCAAATACTTTAATAGGATGCTTTCCTACACTTCTTAGAATTTTCTTCATCTTTTTTGAGAAATGTGGGAATTGGGTAGAGAAAAAAATATCCAAACTACTTCAAAATCTTTTGAAGGATGTACAAATATCACCATGTATACTGTCTTAGGCTTTTCGTTTGCAGAGCTGAGAGAAAACAGCCTTTTTAGATTCAGTGCAGTTCAAAATTTTTGCACAGAAGCCAGAAGGAACACTATATGCATTTAAATACTTTTTTTTACCACAGATGTAAAAACAAGTAAATTACCATTCCAGTGGAAACCATTGTTAATTCCAGGAAATCTCAAGCCCTCAAATTTTATGTTGCTTCACCCATCTGAGAGGTAACAAGCATAATTTCAAGCATGTGTAATGCCTATGACATCTGTGTTGTGAGATGGCATCTCACTGCAAAGGGGAACTCCATTGTATTTTATTTCTTCTTTCCAGAGATCCGTATTTGCAAGAACCACTTGAGTTCAGCTATGGCAACATGCAGTGTCAGACCAACTTGCCGCCCAAGAAGTAACAACGTTAAGAAGGAAACACATCCTCAGGAAATGCAGTTGCTTCACCTTGCAGGCACTTACAGACCTGGCTTCCCCCAGTGCTGTTTAACTTTGCAGATTCAGGCTAGAAATAACCTAAAAACTGAAAGAAACATTCAGACAAAACATTGCAAAGATCTCTTTTCCTCTTTCCTCAGAGATCCCACGAAAATTCATTTTGCTCCCCTGAGACATATGGAGCCTTCCAGTAACTGTGGTGTTTTTTATGAAGCCCAAGACGCTGCATGACTCAGCCCATTGCCCAAACCCACCAGAAAACAACCCAAAAGACCTTCACAGTGACTCGGCCCAGGGGCTCTTACCCTTCCCAGAGAGCCGCCGCGGCTGGGTCCCAATGCAGATGCTCCTGCTGTCTTCGTCATCCTCTGGGGGTCGGCTGAGATCATCCCAAGCACATTTGGCACTCACTCCACTCAGGTTTGAGCCATCTGTCTCAATCCCTTTGTCGACTCTCTCCTGCTTGAAAAATATCCAAAACCCCAAGAGTTTTTTGGGTGTGGCTTGAATCCGAGCTGGAACCCACCCTGGCTGAACCCGACCTTCAGCAGCTCCTGCATATCTCCCCTCACAGGGCAATTTGGCACCTTCTGGCCTTCGTGCTTTGACACAGCTTTGCGGTCTACCTATTACATGTCAATGATAACAAAGCCCTGAATAACTAGACTTAAGTTCTCTTTCCAAGCTTACCAAGAAGTCCCACAATGAACACAGCTTATGGAGAGACTCATCATTCACAAGAGCTCATAAGTTGCACACTGCCCAGACAACCAGTGTTTTTGAACGTGCTGGGGCATTCAGTAAAGGACAAACGTTCAAGGAGACACAGGTCTGTGCGCAATGTCAAAGCTTTCGCGTAGCCTCCTCTATCACCAAAACACACAAACTCCCTCCCTTTCAAGCTGGACTTTCCAAGCACGTAACCACCGTCTGGGTGTAGGAAGGTGTTGCACATCACGCCCAAGCAGCTGGATGCTCTCAGACACCGGGTATTTTCTCAGGGACATGTGCATCTGTTACCAGCGAGACTGCCCTGAGCTAAAGCCAAGACTTAGACGGGACACGTACCTGCCAGGGCAACTGGCATCAGTCTGAATTTCCACCTACGTCCCACAAGGGGGTAATATTGAGCTGAACAAACTCAGGGCTGAGCTACACCGAGGAAGGGCTGCTCTTACCCCTGGCACCTCTCCCCTGGCACCCCATCAGCCAAGCTCGTTTTTCCTTCTTCTGAAGGCCTGTCACTTCTGCTCAGTGGCACCAGGAAGACCTCCTCCCCACTGCACACATCTGGGTCACCACAGAATAGGTGCCAAGTCCTACCACTTGCAGGACAGAAACCTTGAAGATGTGAGGAAAGAGCAGAGCCGTGTTATGCTCAACAGGAGCGGATCTCTCCGTTTGCTGTTGCTACCCTCCAGTCTGACCTTGCCACAGGAGTCAAGAGACCGTGGGAGCATCCAGCGCTTTGCAAAATTTCTTCCCTAAGAAGCAGTTTCCAGACTAAAACCTCCATACGTCTGTTCCCTTGCCCAGCCGCGCACACTGTGCCCTAGAAAGAGCACTGCCTCTTCTTGTGACCGTTCAGAGAGGATTTGAGCAGCTCAAAGATAAGTATAAGCACTCAGGGTGTGGCTGCACAGCAGTTTAAACTGATGTAATCCGCACTGGCTGCAGTCCTACCCTCCTCCATGTGCTCTACCCCTGCCCTTGAGCCAATTCTTTTTTTTTTTTTTTTTTAAACTGCATCACCTCCCTAAACTGACTCTTTGGCCCAAGAGCAGGGGCAGAGGCCTGTGACTGTGGGCAGGACCAGAGAAGTCCGTCTTAGATTTAAGCGTTCAAGAGACTGCCTTCCTTTTGCCTCTCTCCCTGAAAGACTGCTCCTTGCTGGGGTCTTCCTCTGGAGTCAGGGGAAACTGGCTTCCATGAAAACGTAATGGGAAAATCTAAGAAAGAATAAATCTGCTGGGATTTTCTTTTGTTATATCCTAAACATAAAATTAATTGTTTCACCCAGAAATAGAAGTTGTGGAAAAAGAAATAAAAATACATCCGATCCTACACATGCAAACAATGCTCTAAGTGAGATTTAGCATGTGGCTCCTTCAAGAGCCCTCCGCAGTGCTCTATAAGGACCCAGATCAGCTGGCACAGGGAGCTTTAACTTGTCAGCACAGTTATTTTTCATTCTAGTGATTGGGGAAGCATGGGAGAGCCACCAGACTTGCCCTTGAGCAAGTTCTGCAAGGGAGCAGAAGGGCTCAGAGGGTCCCAAGGACTCCATCAGGCAGAGGCTCTGGTGGGACGAGCTCCTCCAACCCTGCACCCTGGGCCCCGCTCACAAATGCAGTCGGGACCTCGGGACTGTGTGTGGAGCCTTGGGGAGGGGCAAAAGGACTCGTCATCTGCATCTCAGCTGGTCTGCAGAGCACTTCCTCCAGGGAAAGAAGTGCTGCTCTGTTGGAATCCCTTGGAGATCAAGGGGGGTTGATGGAAACGAGCTGGTCTAAGGCAGCCTAATTTGCATGCCTGTTTTATAACATTTGCAAGTATTGATGTTGAAGGGAAAAAACCTCCAAAAACCCCTAACCCTCAGCTGGTGCAGTGCACAGCTTTACCCCATCTTGAGCCAGCAAAGATGGGCCTGGGTTGAGGGGCTGTTCTTCCTCCCTTGAAAGGGCAGCCTGAGCAGGAGGTTGGAGGTGCCCAGGGCAAAGGAGGTTCAGCTTTTTCCTTCCTCAAAGAAAGGATGTTTCTGTCCCATTTTCCTCTCAGCATGTGGGAGGGATGCTCTGAGGCTCTTATAAGTCATTGATCCCTTTCTAAACGAGCCAGAGCACTGCAGTGTGACCCGCAGAGCGGCAACCACAAGTCAGGAAATTCAAATCAGCTTTAGTCTCTTCTGAGATATCTGCTAAAACAGAAGCAAAGCACTGAGAATCAGCATAGAGCTGGGGACCGACAGGGACTGTTTGACAGTGCTGCCAGGGAAATCTGAATGGCCTACAGGGAAGCCTGGCTGAACAGAAAACAGCCAGCGTTGCCACAGTGTTAATTGCCGACATCCTGGGATGACATCTTAGTCAGGATCCATTCTCAGCAACTCTGAACAGAAAGTACAGCTGCTGCTGCCAGAGCCGGGTTTAGGCCTCAACTAAATTCCCACAAGAGACAATGCAGCCTCAAAACAAGCTCTGCCTGCTTCCCAGGCAGGCAACACGTTTGCCTGCTCCGCTCTGGGGGAAGTTGCCCGTTTTCTCTGCCCGCTCTCTCCCTCCCATCTCTTCCGCTGCTGCCTTGCAGTGCTCACATAGCCTGTACTACCACCACGAAAACACCATGTGAATGACACCTCATCCTTGCCCCACTCATCAGAGCAGGAGGCACATGCCACGGCTGAATCCAGTCCAGCACAGCCTAGAGCTCTTTGTGGGACTCGGTGCTGCAGCAGCAGGTACTCGCCCACCCCTCCACCCCTGTGCACAGGGCAAGAGAGAACAGAAACAGGAATGTCTTCAACGCAAGGAAGTCCGGAAAGACCACAGACATAGCAGCATTCAGTGGCAGGACACACTGGTGAGGCAGAGGTACTCTATTTGCCTTAACTTGCCTTGGCTGACTCAGATTCCAGTAAGCTGAGCTACTTTTCATTTACAGTAAATCGAAGAAAATGTTGTTATCGTTAGGAATCACCAGTGTGCAGAAAACAGAAACACCCTCCAGGAGGGGAGAGGGCAACATTTTGAAAAGTCTAAAAACTTTATGGGACTTTGAGTTGTATTAGCTCTCACATTGTGGGGCACTTGTGGAGTGCTTTTTTTTGTGTATTTCTGTCAGACTAGGGCTATTTTAGATGAATAAATCCTTAAAAACAGTAAAAGTAGAATTTGGTTTTGTTCTTAAGCTTTCAAAATAAAAGATGCTGTGAGGCAACTGAGGGTAATCAGATGCAGACATGCAGACCATAAGCAAACGCAACAGCTTGTACAAGACGTGCACGTATGCACGTGCCCTACCAGGCTAAGCCTAAGCTAAAGGCAAACGCACAGTGATTCACTGAAACAAGGTCAGCACCACACTGGATTTGCCTGGGACCTCCATACTCCAGCACCACAACTCTGCTGAAGGGATGCAGAATCATCTCCCAAACACACAGATCAGTAGTAGTCCACGGGATGGTAACTCTTCCGTAGAGGTCCTATTATGATCTTTAAACTTCAGAAATTAACTTGTTCTCTGAAGAAGAAGGTGTAATATATCTTCCTGCATGGATTATTAATAATTGCATGAGATACTTTTGGCTTCCCATTATTTCTGAGACCACACTAACTACTTAGCTTCAGGTGACATCCTACAGGAATGAGCTACACTGTCACATTTGCTGGGAAAAAATATGTTGCTTTTGAGTTTTCTGCATGTTATATCTCCTTATGCTTGCTTATAAAACAAAGGAGGAATTTCCTGATCTATCATCTCTGAATCTTGCATTGTTCTACATTCTTTCATTTTCTTCTATTTTCCTCCTTTCTAAAACACGCAGTCCAAATCTTACCAATTTGTCTCATATATGAGATTCCGTTTTGCTGGTCTCCCTTCTCTAACTTTCTTCCTAAAGCTGCCATCCACCTGGGGCTGGACATGTGCACTCTTGAACCACCTCTGAGAGGGCAAAGGGAGTCTCTAAGACCTTTCCAGGATTATTGCAAACATTGAGAAGATCACAGCACCTTTACAGAAAATAATAGAACTGATTTACACCATTAAAGCAATTCTCGCCATGTACTACAAAAGACATGACGTTTGATAAACTAAAGACATACTTGCAGATGTGGGTCAATCTCAAATATTGTCTCTCCTCTTCGCATATCTGTTATCAACCAGGGGCCTCCAGCTCTACAAAGAAAGAAAGGTGATGAACCAAACAAGCACTTCAGCTAGTCCTCCCCAACTGAGTCCTCAGAGTGGACCTGTACTGGAAGGAAGTACAAGATAAAGAGTTTAAAACAAACCCATACACCCCTCTACGTTGTGGATTCATCCCATAGCATGCATTTGTTCTTTGCGTTTCCCAAATACACAACAGAAGTCCTCCAGGACCTGTTACCCGCCTGGTGTCTGGCACCACCACATTTTGCCAAGCAGTTAGGGCTATCCCTTGCACGGACCCACTCAGCTGGGTTTTAATCTCAGAGGTAACTGAATTGGGACTGAGAACTTCCATGTAGCCTGGGTTTAAGAAAGATAGGCGAGGCATAGGGTCAAGATTTACACCTCTATTACATATCTAAAGATACAGCAGGGTCCCAACAGGACTGCACTTTTTGTTGAGATTGGCAGTCATGTTCAATATCATAAAAAGCTTATTGCTCTGATAAATATCCTCACAATAGACATTTTGCCCAGTTGGTGCTTAATGGCTGAGTACACAGATAGTTCAGGGAAATCTTTGTTTTCATTAGCAATAAAAGTCGGAAGGGTCAAGATGTTTCCCAACAAAAGTGTTAGAAAGCAGATTACTGTGAAGATGAACTGCTCGTAGACTTTACTTTGGGTCGTGGCAGAGGCAGTCTGCAGTAACCAGCCTTAGATGGCGCTTTTCATTTGAACTAAAAACTAAAGTCTTTTGGAATTGCCATAAATTTTTTTTTTCCTTTATGAGATATTTTGTCATTGCAGTCAAAAGCCCCCTCCTCTGGCCTTGTCTGTGTTACAGTCTCGCAAAGCACTTGGAGTGGGAGCAATGGAAGTTAATGTTTACAGCTTTTCAGATGCATTGATAGCCAATTTTTCTCACACCACTTTGGAAGCTGTTAATTATTAACTACAGAAGTGTGACCAGCTTCAGTTCCTCACTGGGATGCAAGAGATTCCACACCAGCGGCTTAGTAGTTTGCAGCTTTGCCTTCAAATCATGGACATTTGGGTTTCATTTTATGCTTGGAAAGGTGTTTGTACCACAGCACAAAAGGCAAAAACCAACATGACAACAGACAGACAAGAAGGGTGCTATATCAGTATTGCCTTAGAAGAGCCAAGGGACCTGTAGGCAGTGTTTATTGCCTTGGGGTCCCAGAAACAAAGTTTGCAAGCTGGACAAATTCACTCTGCTCTAGGGCATTTGCATGAATTATCTGCATTTGTGCCTAAAAGGAAAAAGGCCAAGTTTAAGAAGTTCAGCAGCCAAAAGTCCTCCAAATGGTCAATCAATTAAAGAGCACTGTGACACTAGAGAGTGTACTATTGTGTTCAGGAATACCTATTCAGAACCATCTTGTTTAAAAAAAATAAATAAAATCTGCTGAGCTACAATCACACGGCAATAACTTCCACTAAATATGAGAGAAAAATATTTAAACAAAACACCTGCAAGCCAATAAAGTTTAGCTGAAACCTGGCAGCAAATAAAGCATCAACATATCATTTAACATTTAAAACCCATCTCTTCATTAACCTGAAAACATCTTTGTTCTGCCATGGGAAAAATAACAACGAACTTGACTTGCGTGAACATTCCTCCTGTTGCAAACTTGCCCACCAGGAGTGGGACCAGTTTGAGAGCGACTTTCTCACTTTCAGACAGCGCCCGAGCTTTGTTAGGCACTGTAAATCAGATCCGCTTCTTCCTTTCTTTTGAACTACACAGAGAGGTCACCAGTAACAGCCATCCCAGCTCTCTCAGGAAGAACCAATGAGAAAATGCTGCGGGCGCAAGAGGAAGGAAATTAAGCTTTCAAGACCTCATTCTGTTTCACCCCGAACATGTGGGCTTCCACATGCATTAATTTGCCATGTAAGTGTCTGCCCGTGAGAACAGATTTGCAATGAATTCCCATCTCTTGCTACATCACAGGATTAAATAAGTTCCATCAACAAGTTAAAGATTGTTAATAAACAACTGAATTGTTCTCCACTGGAATGCTCCCCTATATGGGCTATATGAGCACTTACACTGGAACAGTCCGAAGCAGTTCCAAGATCCCTTGCCCGTTCCACTGCTGAGCCGCATGCAGTTCCTCCGTGCAAACCCCAACAATCTGGAATAAATGAAAACAAAGATACTGAACTGGATGGGAACTGTGCAAGAACTGTAGAGAAAATGTAACATGTGGTGCTGGATCAAACAGTGCAGATACAGAGAAGCGCCATTTTTTTAAACTAACTAGACGAGTCAGGACAAACGGAGCCTGAGACAATAGAGGCGTTCTGCAATTCCTTATGCACTCTCTCTACACTTACCACGTGAAGCACCCTGGTCACGTAACATTCAGTCTTGCATGGCGTGTGCAAACCTAATTTTGAGGAGGGCCTGGTGATAAATTAGGGTTTACCGAAGATCCACTTGTCTGTTCTCACTTTTCAATCTAGTCCACACAAGACAGGACAGGTTAGGGTCTGAGAACATGCAAAACACTGCTCTGTCAGCCAAATGCTAGGGGCAATTGCAATACTGCACTAGCAATTTCAACCAGGCAAGGGACTCACTGTGACAACGGAAGGCTTTGGTGTTCATAAATCCTTGGTCAACTCAGTTTGCTGACTGGTTACATCTTACCCAGCACCACAAAGTAAAGCTGCTTACACATCGCATAATCCACTTGTCACTGCAGGCAACTGCAGACTTCTGCCTTCCTGTATGAGGCAGGATGTGTTTGCTTTTCAGGATGGGAGCTGCCACACTGAGCATTACCAGATGTCTCTCACAGCAGCTGAGATCAGTCGCTTCAAATGAAGGGGTGAAACACCCTGCAGCTGACAGAGGAAGGCAGTTTCTTCCTAATCCACCACAGAATCGCAGAGTGTTAGGGGTTGGAAGGAACCTCTGGAGATATCTAGTCCAACCCCCCTGCCAGAGCAGGATCACCTAGAGCAGGTTGCAGAGGGTGGCATCCAGATGGGTTTTGAATGTCCCCAGAGACAGAGACTCCACCACCCCTCTGGGCAGCCTGTTCCAGTGCTCTGCCACCCTCAAAGTAAAGAAGTTCCTCCCTGTGCAACCTCCTATGTTCAAGTTTGCGTCTGTTGCCTCTTGTCCTGTCACTGGGCAGCACTGAAAAAGGACTGGGCCCATCCTCCTGACACTCTTTAAGTGTTTATAGGCATTGAGATAAGACTACCTCTCAGACTTCTCTTCTCCAGACTTAAAAACCTCAAGTCTCTCAGTCTTTCTTCATAAGGCAGTTGTTCTAGTCCTCTAATCATCTTTGAAGCCCTTTTCTGTACCCTCTCCAGCAGTTCTCTGTCCTTCTTGAACTGGGGAGCCCACCAACCAGTGGCTTGTGCCTTTGAGCACAATGATTCACTCTTTGAGATGAAAAATTGTTCTGCCCTGGCCTTCTATTTTCTTCCTTGATACTCTAGCCTTTTCCAACGACTTTGATTTTTTAGGCAAAATCTGTTCAACTCAAGCTGTATCAGCAAAGAGGAAAACTGAAAACTATATTCTGAAGAGCAGCAAGCAGAAGCACACTCTGTGCCTTCGCCACAAGAGCGTAACTGCACTGATAGAGATCTGTGTGGAAAACCATCAACGTCAGCACGTACCCGCTCCTGCACACCCAACCTCCCCTGCCCCTTGCAGAGCTCACTTTCTCAGGACCCAGCCCTTGGAGATGCACTTCATCCCCACCCACCTCCCAGGCTTTCTCCATGAACAGCCTGAATCACTCTCGCTTCAGGACACCCCTCCCTGGGCCTTCACTCACTAATCACACACAAACAACAAGACTCTAAACAGGAAATTATTTTGTGTTTATTCATTTCTTTCTGCAACCATTTATCCTCTCGGGTCAAAATAAATCTGTAACAACAAGCACCAAACAAAGGGGAAACACAAGTCAACCATAAGTGTTGCAGAGGATTAGAGACCAAGAGCCTCAGGATGCAGTATGTTGACTGTCCTTTGACTCAGGACAGCCAGGCACTACAGAAGAGATGCAGACTAACGCGGCAATAACTGGGGCATCGGCCAGGAATCACTCTCCTTAGCTTGGCTCCCTGTCTCTGCTTCGAGGCCCAACAACTCACCTTTCACTGACTAATCCTACACCCATCTCCTCCTTATTGAAAAAACACAGAGTTTTGGCACCTCAGAAAATTCAGGAGCCTTCGCACAGCATTTGCCCTGTGCAGGTCTGAGCTTCCCTTTACATGTTGCAACTATAGTGTCTTGGGTTACAATATGTAACCAAA